ACTTGCAACACAATAAGGTCATAAAAGGACTGAAGATTAGAGGTGTTATAAGAAAGTAACAAACATGAAAAAGGAGGAGAGATCAGGACGATAGATGTTTGATAGGAAAGAAGGAGCAAACCACACCAGAGCATCCACCAACCACCCACTATTAGCCTTAGCTCTTTGGACATGACTGTGTAGGCTATGTATCTTCAATCTTCGAAAAAAAAACTTTTACCAAGCCAGGTCATGGAAGCTGAACATTGGTATAAATATATGCAACAGTTCTTTGGAGCCCTCCGATTATTTCTTCAAAGACAACGGTAATGGGCAGCTCTAATCAAGTTACGTCTCTCCGCGGAGGCGTTAGCAATGGATTGGAACTCGATCTCGACGGAACCTGCTTTCAACAGGCCGTATAGTATCTCTCCTTATCGTCTCCGAACGTGGCGTCGTTAGCCTCTCCATTAACAGCTTGATCTTTATCATGTTAGTCGATTGATGAGTTAGCTGGGGGCTGCACGGTGCTTGCAGTCTCTCCCTTGATGTGGAGATAAGCTAGCGTGTTCAGTCGGAGCAGCAGAGGAGCTCTCTACGCCGCTGGGATTGTTCCTGCCTGTTCAGTGCGGGTCTCTATCTAGACTGCACTGTTTCTGTGCTTTTGTAAGCTGGTTCTTACTCTGCCGCTGGTTGTTCATTCCCTGACTCGTCTCTTCATTCTTAAATTTGATCCAAGTGTCTGGTTGGCGGGTCTCTGGTGTGGTTTGCTTCTTCTTTCCTATCAAACATTTCTATCATCTTTATCTCCCCTCCTCCTTTTTCGTGTTTGTTACTTTCTTGTAACTCCTATAATCTTCGGCACTTACATGACTTTATTGTGTTGCAAGTGCCGTAAAACTCTTGCTAGAACATAATATTAAGCTGGTTCTCTCTGCCGCTGGTTGTTCATTCCTTTACTCGTCTTCTCATTCTTGAAGTTGATCAATTGTCATTGTTCTATCTATTGGTTCAAAACTATAAGATTTCTCAATTTCCAGACCAAGTACAACATAATAGCAGCAGTCATAGAATCGTACACCGAGATCTGAGTTGTAGTGGCATTTCATTTGACTAGTGATTCTCAAATCTACGTGAGCAATTAATGTGGTGGTCTTTTTATATTTGTCTGTTCTGAGGCTACCGAAATACTAACTCGGCTGTGAAGAATTTAATTTCTATATATATATTCCTGGTATAGTCTAAATTATTAAATCGTAATAGCTGAGTGCATTATAACTTACATAGTGTACTACGAAATAAAGTCTGTCTGTGTATAGGTAGCGAGTGGGTTCGTTTAGTACCAGGGAAGATAGATTTTTTAAAACCCAAAGGGGGGAAGGGGGAGGGGGTGTCTCTCGTGGCTAAGAGGTTAAGGTGTTCGCCTCTCTTTTAATATAGGTCGTGGGTTCGAATCCAGATAGCGACAGAAAATTTTCTTCTCTAAAATTTTCTCCTTTCACATCCTTTCCTGCTCTCTAACAATGTTATGTCGTCTGCTTTTGTCTTCACTTTCTGCCCCCCCCCCCCCCTACAACACCTCCTTTGCCCCTCTTCTGGTCTTCTGACTCTTTCTGAAGCCTTTCTACTGCTACTTCTTGACTCTTTCTTACTATTGTCTTTCAGCCACACCAATGATTTTATGGTAGTAAAGATCTACACCTACATTTCTCGGACAAGTGAGAACAATCTAAGAGGTCCCGTGTGCAAGTTGTGCGCATTAAAAATCCTTTGGGTGGTCCACAATCGACAAAAGTAGGCTTTCGCCGCCACCCGAGCAAAGTTCAAAATTTCCTACCGACTGAAAATGTTAAATTAGTATCCCGCACGCTTTTATGACTTTGTGCAGTTGCGAGCGCGTAAAACACTAGATCTACCCCCCTACCCTCCCCCGCAAGCTGAATTAGTAGACCATTGAAAAGGTAGCCTCTATAGTGGAGGGGGGGGGGGGGGGTAGGGGATTTAAAAGTTGAAACAAAGCACTGGATGTATATTTACTCGCATTTAATAAGTACATTGGATACCCCACAAGTCCATTACTGTGCGAGGGATGTGGAAAGAAACATTATCACATTCACAGTGCCAATCTTGCTATCTTGATACATCCTTTCTGACAGCCTCTCTGAAAACAGGTTGTGTCCGCCCGTGCGCATGTGTGTGCATGATTGTGCATGTGTGTGCGAGAGAGAGAGAGAGAGAGAGAGAGAGAGAGAGAGAGAGAGAGAGAGAGAGAGAGAGAGAGACAGAGAGAGACAGAGAGACAGAGAGAGAGAGGGGGGGGTGAACAGAGAGAGACAGAGAGACAGACACACAGACAGACAGATACACAGACAGATATACAGACAGAGACAGACACAGAGACAGAGAAAGGAGGGGGTGGGGTGGGGATCCAGCTCCATTCGTCAAGACTTGGTGGCATTATGTCTCCAGTTATTCCTGACTCTTGTCTTCATTTTGAGCGCACTTTATTTTGTTTTCCAGAAACTTTTCCATTAAAAATACCCCTTTCCACACCGTTGAATATCTTTATGTAAACATAATGTTCTTGTTATATTTGTTACAAAAAATGCCGGTTTGCTTTAAACTCTAAATCTTACAGAAGTGATAATTTTGTTCTCTTTCGAGTCCATGGCATTAATAGTAGGTTTATAATAGGCCGTAATCTCATTCTGTTAGCTATTTCCTATTTAACCGTAGGCCTATTGTTTCATGCTCATAGTTTCAAAGACGAAACATCAGGGTATTTAGTTACCGGTCCTCGTATTTTCATTATTACCTAGATCTAGTTGTTTTAATATTTGTATTAATATTGCTAGACACATTTTTATTTATTAACTGACATATTTATTATGTCGTCACTGTGATCGTCAAGCACAAAAATGTAAAAAAAAAAAAACCCACCATATTTCCGCCAACAAGACAGAAGCAAAACAAAACAACTAGGCCTAGAATCTAGGCAAGCCTTGACGTCAATTAATGCTCCCGCAACAGAAAACACACTCAATGAAGGACCCCCCAATATGGCTGCCCCCTGTGTTTATGTTTTTGTCAAGAAATGTCAAGTCTCAGTGAAGGTGCTGCAGCGTTCGCTGAACGAACCCAAAACAAGTGGTACAAGTACAATGTTGTCTCCAAGACATTTTCAATCACTTTATCGTATACGTGTTTTCGATTTTAGCATGATTATTGTTGTTGATCCCCTATAGTAGTAGATCTAGATCTAGATCTAGTCTTGAAAGAAGAGCGCCCTTCTTTCTCTTCGGCCCAATGAATGAATGCACAATGCAAGAGCCAGAAAACACTCTCAAGTGTAAAAAAAGTGGCGTTGGTGGTTATGTTTTGAAAGGTTGTTTGCTACATTATAAACCAGGGTATTGTGTTGGAGTTCCTGTAGTTTTGTATACTTTCATTTGTCTTTGAAGAGCGGAGATGGTTAACTGTTTGAACTGTTTTAGTTTTTTAGACGTGGTGTTATTGGACATTGGTGTTTTTTCGGAAGTTCCCACCCCGCAATTGTTATTCGCCGGTTTTGGCCTCAAGAGAAGGGGGGTTTCAGGGGGGCAAGCTGACCTAATAAAACTATGGTTTTTAACATCATTTTATGTTTTGCAGTTGTTAGAGGTTTGATATAATCTTAGCTCGCCGCGCATCAAACTATAGATCTCGATGTGTAGATCTAGGCTCAAATAAGGGGGGTGGGAACTACCGAAAAAGCACCGTTTTTTCTGGGTTGACCCTGTGACTGTGATTTATTGAAGTCAAAGTGTAGGCTAGGCTTCAAGAGTTTGTGTGTATGAAATTGCAGTTTTCATGTTATTCACTAAACTTTCAAGCTAGCCATTGTTGTTTGATCTTTATCATTGCCACTGAAACTGATGCATGGTGTAAGATTTGTTCTTCAGGTGCTTGAGAAGTAGAAGCACAATGATGTTCAATTTCAACTTCCCTTCCTTATAAATTCTTCCTCGTCTCACCCATCCTTTCCTTTCTGTTCTAAAATAAAAGGCTATGTTCAAGGCCAGTGATAATGAGAATGATCTATAATTCCTTCGTGCAAGTCAAAATTTGTTCTCTCTCCCTTGAGTTTTTCTGATTTAGGCTAGACCCACACCGGCGTCGGGCCCGACGGTCAGACTCGACCTGGCGATTTTTTGCCGGCCGTGCCGCCCATACCGCCAACGGTAATCTACCCGACGGTCAGACAACATCAGTTTAAAAGTAGAAAATAGCATTTAGCAGGAGGAGAAAGTTGTTTTTCTTGTTGTGGTTAGGAAAGGGGGGGGGGGGGGTCTCGTAGTCTAGGGGTTACGTTGTTTGTCTCTCATTCAATTGAAACTTGACAGCGACAGAATATTTTCTTCTTTAAAATTTTCTCCTTTTACCTCCTTTCCTGCTCTCATGTTCTGTTGTCTACTTTCATCGCAGCGAGCACCGTAAAACACTCTCAAAACAAAAACCGGGAGGACTTATGTAACGAGCGACCACTATGAGACAGAGAATAGAGGTCTAGGGGTAGGGTTTGGGTAAGGGTAGTTAGGGTTTGGGTTAGATCTAGGTCTCTTCTTTATTGTGTTTGTTGGGGTGGTTGCTTACGGAAGTCCTTCCCAAAAACCGACAGACTGTGGCGGGAAAGGGGAAAGAATTTATAGAGGCAAGGTCTACAAAAAGTATCCCCTTTTCGCCTAACGGATGGCATAGAATGAACAAGTTGTTCTGCCGGCGTTCATTCTTTTGTATTGGAAAATGGTCCGGTCTGACCGCCGGGCCCGACGCTGGTGTGGGTCTACCCTTAGACAGGCTCAATTGTATGTTTTAAGTGTAGTGTCATTACTTAATTGTATATATAAATATCTCACAAGGAATTGTTTCAAGATTTCGAATTGAATTAATAAGGAGCTAAAACAAAAAGTATTGTGACATTGTTGTTCAGTCCTTACACAAAACATGTTCTTTTTCTATATTACAGATTGTTACATTAACAGAGCTTGAGATAAGATTATGTTTTGTGGAAGAAGTGTGCGTCTTGCTGTTAACTCTCGGACGTGGAACCCAACTCAGGCGGAATGGCAACTTGCTGCCCAATGTGTTCAGAATGAGGAGAAGCATCGAATTGGAAAGTTCATTTTCAAAAAGGATGCAAAATCAGCTATGGTATTACACTTTTTCTGACACTTGTTGCTAAATTTCTTAACTCTTCATCTCTGGCAAACCGCTCGCGGTCGGAACTGCTGTGCCGGTGAGTGGCTGGCCACGGCTCGGGCACATTCCTTTACTACGACTTCGACATCAAATTACTTTTCTGCAATTGCCGAAAACAGGTCTCTTTTTTCAGGATTTCATTCACTAGATGAGGAACTATCGAAATAGGTTCAATTGTTTTGATTTAATTAATGATTAATTTAGTGACGTTTTGGTCATTTTTAGATTTAGTACAAAAAAGGGGCCTTGGCATAGTGGGTTTACACACCACACGGAGATAAAGAGATAAAGGAGATTTATGTGCTAGTGCCACAATCTAGGGCTTGGAAGCATTGTATTGTAAAACCGGCCATTAACGGCTGAAATATTTTAAACTTCGGAACAGTTTTATGAATATGAATTTTCATGTCGGTTTTTAATTAAAATAGTGATTCACATACAGGAAAAATTACTTTCCGTTTAATTTGAGTTCAGCAGTACTACTGGCTATTACATATACTGTCGAACCTGCCATGACGGCCACCTTTGTAATATGGCCACCTGTACAAATGGCCACTTTCCATTTTCCCCCTTGGGTTTTTTCTGTATAATTTTTCTGTGTAAAACGGTCACCTGTCCAAAGCAGCTGCGGCCACCTTATTTTATCAACCCACTGTCAAATTTACCTACCTCAAGCTGCCAGGTGTGGTCACTCATTGCCCAACGCTTTGTCATAAATTTTGAATCAGCCCCTGACGTGGGCGGGCCATCATAATTCATTCACCTGTCGTTATTTTTTGTCCCTTCAATGAATGTGTACCCAAGTTGACCAAAAGGTAGGCCTAACAATAATTTTCAACTGCTGGAGAGGGAAGCGTGATCTGTCATAACCTAAGCCCCGCCCATGACTTATACACAAGTCGTGTATGAGGTGACTGGTCTCTGTTTTATTTACCTTATCTGTAACAAAGTAACAATGGACGTTGATGTGAACTTGTGACAGAAGCGTCGCTCATTCTCCAAGTGGTGGCAACCCATATGTTTGTTTTATCATGGCATTCGGTCTTCATCGTCTTACTTACATAATATTTCATTAATTTTTTTCCCTGCACAAAATCTGCAACAAAAAGAAAGATTACCTAAAAACAAACCTGCAAAACAACACAAAAAACCCATCTTACACCACCCACCCCCCCTTTTTCAAAAGAAAACAAAAACCCTTTTGAATTAGCCTTACGGCAGTCTAAAGTCTGAGATCAGCTTAACATTTTTTTTTAAATGTCCTTCCAAAGGATTGCTTAAAGTATGTGTATCATGTTTCTTTCATCAACCTTCGTCTTTTCTGGTCTTTCGCTGGTTACTGTGAGACCCCAAAATTTCGAGAAGTCTTGAATCAATCATATTTTGAGTAGGCATAAATCAAATTTGATTATTATTTTAGAAACTTACACCTGATTGCACATAATTGTCTTTATAAAGGAAAAACAGAAAGGTGACATTATGAACCAATTTTTCGAACGGAGCATGCATTTGTTATGAAAAGAAGCTAGATTTATTACTTTGGCTGAAATCTTTCCTATTATTTCGAAAATTCTGATATGATACCTTTTTTTCTGCCTTTTGAATTTTCAGGTAGGGCGTTTGCTTCTGCGTTATGGAGTTTCAAAAATGTTAGATGTCCCCTATCGCTCTCTTAAATTCTGTCGAACTGAGAAAGGAAAGCCGTATTTGACAAGCCCTGCAGAAAAGTGCCTACCCCACTGTGAACTGAGCTTTAATATCTCTCATCAAGGAGATTTTGTGGTCTTTGCAGCCGAGAAAGAAAGATTGGTCGGAGTGGACATAATGAAAGTGGAGTGGCCAAGTAGGTTCACTGTTTTTTCTGTTATTATATCTTTTTGGTTCTTCTTACACACCTCACTGTTTTTTGTACAGACAATAAGAATCATGTAAATTAATCATGAGATTACAAACACGGCAACTAGTGATTAGAGGAAGTTACTGATAGGTCTAACTCTTACTTCTTTTCTTTCCCTCTCTGGTTTCTTTTTGTCTGTCCTTTTCTTGAACTACATAACTGTTACTTAGTCAGTGTGCTTGTCTATACTCACACTCAAACAATGTGGGTGGTTGGCGGGTGCTCTGGTGTGATTTGCTTCTTCTTTCGTATCAAACATCTATCGTCTTTATCTCCCCTTCTTCTTTTTTATGTTTGTTACTCTCTTGTAACACCTCTAATCTTCTGGCGCTCATATTACCTTATGCTGTTGCGAGCGCCGTAAAACCTCTACTAAAACTAAAACATTCAAATAATTGAAAGAATCCTTTATTTAGACAGCACAGATTTATGTTATTCTATATTTTGACTGCCAAGTTTAAGGCTCTGCTATACACCATTTTGAAAAGTGATGTATTATGGAGTCTTACCCTCAGCAGTCGGTTTGGTTTTCGCCTGTTTCGAAGCATATTTCTTACAAACAATTCTCAGATTTCAGAATGTTGCTGTTTGCTTATCTTCAACTTACAGCTATACCAACCCATGAGAGTTCTCAATTTTTTTTTCTTCGAACTAGCTTAGATAGGTGGCTGTCTTACACAGTGTCAATGACAATGACAATCTTAAATCTTCTTGCAAGGAGATGTAAAAAAATGCACATGGGAGGAAATATGAAGTGGCCATTTATACAGATGATTATCTTATTGTCTTACACAGATGGCCGTTTGAACAGATTCGACTGTACAAACGTACTATTATTATTCTTTCTTCTCTTTATTCCTGTTGCAGTTATTTTTTTAAGATGGATTTTAAAAATGAGTTTTTTCCCACCTTATTCAAAACAGGAAGTAAACCAGTATCAGAGTTTTTCGATACCTTAGAACGCCAGCTGACAACACATGAATGGAAAGAAGTGAAAAGTAGGATAGGAGACATGGAGCAGTTGAAGACTTTTTTCAGACTATGGGTAAGGAACACAATCATGCAGGGAACATGAACTTTGTGGGTATTAAGATTTGAAAGCACAAAAGTTTTATTTTAGCCTTGTTTGTCTTTTGTCTTTTGCTTGGAAATTTGTCAATGTTTCTGTCTCCCCTCTCAGCACATGTAATTCAAAATAAGTGAATGGGGATCCTGCTGCATTGCAACTCTCGGGAACATTGAAGAAGTCTCATTGGGCCAAAAGCATGCATAACTTTATCTTGCAATTTAACAATGGGATGAACAGACCCCTGATTGATCAGTTTGCTGTGGAACAGCTTTGTGTTTGTACAGTTTTTTAAACTGAAGTTCTAGACATTTTTCAGTTTGTGAGCTTCAGTTGTCATTATGCGTGTAGAAACAGCACATATAACTTTATTTTTGTTACTCGCTCTTCTGCAATGCTTCTTTATGTCAATGTGAATAGTTGGCGGACACTGTGGTGTGGCTTTTTCCCTCTTTCCTGTCAAATATCTATTGTCCTAATCTCTCCTCCTTTTTTAAAAATGTATGTTACTCTCTTGTAACACCTCTAATCTTTGGCTTTTATATGACATATTTGTATTGCAAAAGTGTCTTAGTGGGTGGTTGGCTGGTGCTCTGGTGTGGTTTGCTCCTTCTTTCCTATCAAACATCTATCGTCTCTTTCTTCCGTCCTTCGTTTTTGTGTTTGTTACTCCCTTGTAACACCTCTAATCTTCAGCACTTATATAACTTATTGTGTTTTAAGTGCTGTAAAACTCTTACGAAAAAAAAGTGTCTTACCAAAACTAAATTTTACGTCTTGTGCTCTTCAAAACAGTATTTCCTGTTGAAATGTCTGCAAGTTTTGTCAGGGAACTGGAGCCCCTTGGTCTCCACCATGACGTTCCCTGTACATTTCTTTAAAACCTGCTGTCATGGGTAGTCGATGGGTGGTGTGGTGTGGTATGTTCCTTCTTTCCTATCAAACATCTGTTGTCCTTATCTCTCCTCCTTGTCTTTGTGTGTCAATCTATAGTAGCGCCTCTAATCTTCGCACTGATCATCTTCTTCCTCTTTTTCTCGATCTCATCTCACTTGAAGTCCAGTATCTATCATATACTGGGCTGTCCTGCTCTGTCGGCACTTATATGACCTAATTGTGTTGTAAGTGCAGTAAAACTCTCCTAAAACTTAAAACCAAATTTAACCTGTAGTCAGTTAGGGACCTTGTATCTCACATCGATCGATGACCTTTTTCTTTGCAGTGCTTAAAGGAAAGCTTGGTCAAAGCATGGGGAACTGGCATTGGCTTTGAAGTGAATCGTCTAAGCTTTCATTTTGGAACCCCAGAACTGGCCTCTGATGTCATGTGTACTGACACGTCAGTGGAAATAGATGGTGAGCCTGCGCCTGACTGGTCATTCCACGAGACTTTGCTCGCTGACCATTGTGTGGCTGTGGCTGTGAAAAGAAGCTGTAAGGTAAGTCGCTTATAAATATTCATTGAAGAACCCACAGCTGATGCGATGTGTAGGCTATTTAATTTTTAATTTTTTAAAAAGATTCTTTCTTTACCTTGAATTAGATTTCTTTTTGATTTGTAATGATTGTGTACGTTTTTTGCCTCTATTGGCGAAATTTTAATTGTTAGAATTAGGCTGAGCAGGTGGTTGGCATGTGCTCAGGTGTGGTTTGCTCCTTCTTTCCCATCAAACATCAATGATCCTTATCTCTCCTCTTTCTTTTTTGTGTTTGTAACTCTCCTGTATCATCTAAATTTCTGCACTTATATGACCTTACGATGTTGCAAGGTCTGTAAAACTCATACTATAACTAAAAGTAGGTTGGGCTGCTTTGAATTTACTTATCTGGGCCAGCCTGTGCGTTGAGTGAGATACAAAAGCCCAGCAGAAAGACGTCATGCTCCATCAAACCATTTATCTCGAGATGAGCTCTGTTCCTCCACTCTGTTGTTTGTATCTTGCCTTTTCCCTGCATTACACATGTGTTGTTGCGTTGATGTGTTTGTCTTTACTCCTCAAACTAAAAAAAAAGAGAAAAGAAAAACAAAGTGGGTGATTTGTGGGTGCTCTGGTGTGGTTTGCTCCTTCTTTCCTATAAAAAATCTTATCGGCTCTTTTTTTTTTTTTTGTTACTCTCTTGTAACACCTTTAATCACCGGCACTTATATGACCTTATTGTGTTGCAAGTGCCGTAAAACTCTTACTAAAACCAGAAAGAAAAACAAATGTACTCATACTCATATTGGTATTGCAACTGGTATCTGTAGGAAAACGGTTAGGCGCTTCACCATTGTACGCAGAAAACCCAAGTTTGTTTCCCTGGGGAGATGGGTTGTTTTGTATAGAGTGTTTCTGTCTGTTTGCCAAGATGCTGTATCCATCTCATCCTGTCTGGGTTTCCTCAGACAGGCAGGGCCGAATCCCACCTCTTTAACATTCTATATTACAGGGCATCATCACGAATTAGGTAGAATCATAACGATTTTTATTCAGTTTTACAAAAATATGATCGTAATACCTCCTGATTTCGATTTTAAGAATAATAAATTTGGCTGTCCCAACCCACTGACAACCTTACCGGTGTATAAAGGGAGAAAAACTACCAGACCCGAACAGTCCACGTTAGTTTGTCGCATGCAGCTGTCTAACTTTAACATCCTCTTCGCATTGAGCCCTTGTAATCGTTCAGTGCCACTTTGCACACTCTTAGAAAAACAGGATATTTTAGAAGTGCAAAGTCAGGAGTAAGGCATATATTATTATAGTGCTGTCAAAAATTCATGGCCCAACTTATCCTCAAATATCTTTTAAACGGGTGAATCACCGTCACTCATACTTTGCACAGCATTTTGTATCAATTTGTCTTAACTTAGTCATATTTTTCCTCAACAATTGAGGCTAGATTTAAAAACATTTCTTCATTAATGTATATGAAATACAATAAATCTCCGTCTCGTGGAAAATGGGATTGTTCACAGCACTTCCTGATTCTTGCACACATTTTGTATACGCGTATAGCCTACGCCACAGCTCATCGATGACAATTTTTTGTGGCAAAACTTATGACAAGAAATTAATTTTATAGTGAATACATTTTTGCACTAAATGTCTAAAGGTTCTCAAAACATTCGTTCAATTAGCATAAAGTCGCAATTAGAAAACAATGACAGACTTGCTTTTAAAAGTGGTATTTCCACTGCTGTAAACTTTTGAAAAGCTGTAGAAACCATCGACTTGGATTTTTTATTAGTATATATTAAGGAATTTTGTAGAATACAGTGTACTGGCATTTGAAAAAATATTCATGAGTTAAGAAAAACTGATATAAGTCATTGTGCAAACGTTGGAGAATCTATGTTCAATAGTTAAGGGGATATTTGAAAATAAGTTACGCCACGAATTTTTGATCACACTATAAGTTGACAAGGTGTTAGACAACTCACGTACCCTTTTATGTTGTGGGTGAAGCCTAGCTAAGCCAATGAGAGAATTTTTTAGAAAGTGAATCAATGTTTGTAAATTGATACACTTAGCTACGGTGGGTGCGTAGCATATATAAAAGTGTGTTGTGATGTACAATCCAGTCATTGACAAAGGCTTGTGACATATTCTGTTGTTCCAGAAATTTCTTTTGTTTATTCAAGCAGGTACATTGTTGGCAAGCCGTTCAAATGTTCTAAGCCCTATAAGACTTTTTTTTAGGAGAGGGAAAAAACTGCTTTGTAATTTAAAAATTATACCTTCTTTATCTATCTTTTCTTGACAAGATAATTATTTCTTGAGCTTGTGCAACTGAGGTCACAGATTAAGAAACTACTTGCTAATGTTTTAAAAATTCAAAATAAAATGTTGGGGATAGTACGTCTCAACAGCATGTCGACATGTATATCATCCCTGTTGTCTAATACGGGGTGTCCTTTGCGGATGGGATGGGGTCGGGTCGGGTCGGGCCGGGTCGGGCCAGGACGATAGCCTAACTCGTCGCCTGAAAACAAGCACGTTTGTTTTTGAGGCGGCGAGTCAGGCGTGATCGGCTTGTACCACGATAGCCGCTTTGCGCCCTCAATCTGGCTAGCACCCCGACCCGACCCGATCCCCCAATGGGCACCCCGTATAAGTTTACTTTCTTATATTCAATGCTCTTCTTACGATGTGATTTTTGTATCCGGGCAAAGCTTTAGCATCTCTCTATGTAATGTCACCGTGTATAAGAGATATTCCTTTGCCTTTTTAAAGTGAATTAAAAATGTTTGAGAAATGTGGTACTTAAAAGGTTAGACTACTGCAGGGGCGATATTAAAAATCACCTCCTGCTTGCTCATTACCACCTCTGATCAGCAATGTGGGAGGCCTGAAGGGTTAAAACATCTCTCTCTCTCTCTCTGTCTCTATCTGAATCTGTCTCGGTCTGTCTGTCTGTGTGTCTGTCTGTGTGTCTGTCTGTGTGTCTGTCTGTGTGTCTGTCTGTCTGTCTGTCTGTCTGTCTG